GTGGTGGTGGAATTTATTTACTCATGAAATCTTGAACATAAATAGGTGACTTCTGGCACATCTTAGTCCAGGGCACAATTGATGCCATCAATCTCAGTCTATCTTCATCTTTCAAACAGGCCCACTTTCTGTGACAGCATGCAGCCCAGTCCCATACCCTACTACTTAGCAACTTCAACAGAAATATCAATCTTTTCTTACAGTTCTAGCAAAAGGGTTCTGTAGCATGTTAATTGGCTGACATCTTTTTGACCATATGCTTGAGCCTTCACTGTACCTGGGGGGACAGTCCACTTAGATGAGCCAAGCCTAGGTCATGTATGCATCCCTAAGGCAGGGGCCAGAAGGGACAGCCCCATCCAAACTACCTTGGATGGTTCCCCATATTAGAACAGTGTTCTTTAACCAGAAAAATAGTGAAGACAGGAAAGCAAGCTGGGCAGACATTACTGTACCTAGCATGACCTACTACTTAACTGGAAAGTTTTTTTTCCACAAACAAGGAGATAAAATTGCATATTAAAATGTCCATCACAATTTAACAGTAGGATCGTTTATGACAACATGCAGTTGTCTCAATCATTTACCTACTTCATTCCTTCTGCAGATGACCTAGGTATCACTCACTGCTTCTTTGTTATCTCTCAGAGCCTAGTAGATTCCTGCTTATAGCGAGTACCTCACAATTCTACATGTTCATCGTGACATTTTTTAAACTATTAAAACCTGTATGGCCCTTATATTGCCGGGGGTGGGGGACAGACTGGTATGGAGCCATATAGATGGATGCTAAAATCCTTACCTTGCCAAATTAGTTAGCCTCACCTTCTTCATGGGTAAAATGGGAAGGCTGTGACCAGGAGGGAAGATTAAATGAGATAACAAGAAAACCACCTAGCAAGTTTCGTATTAATTATAATAGAAGAAGCTGAATATTTTTGTATATATATATAATTCTACTTTCATGAAATCAGTCACAGTAAATTATGGCAAGAATGTTTCATAAAAATACCTGTCTTCTTAGACATTAAGAAATATGACTATCTTGGTGAAGGGTAAGACAGTATACAATACTGGAGAAGCCAGTACAACTTTTCCAAGGCAAAGTCATGGAAGCTCCACAGATACATCCAAACTCCCAGAGGGACTGAATTACTGGGCTGAGTGCTGCAGGGACCATGGTCTCAGGGAACATCTAGTTCAA